AACACTCTGACCCACAACACTCTGACCCACAACACTCTGACCCACGACACCCTGACCCACAACACCCTGACCCAGCTGATTCCTCTCCAGCTGCCTGGTGAAGGAGCTGCTGTGCCAGGCAAGGCTCCCACTGCAAAAACCCCCAGGGCAAAGCAGAATTCCAAGGCCAGGAGGTGTTTTCCCTGCAGGGAAGGGGGTTCTGGGGGCAGGCAGGGCCCATTTTTACCTCCTGGTGCCTGTTGCCCTCCCGGATGTACACGCTGGCCAGGTTGGTGACAATGAATGCCCAGAGCTCCTGGTGTGTCGTGAGCTGGGAGGGACAGAACAACAACAGCACAGTCACACATTCCACGTATTCCAGAGCCTCCCCTGGCACCTGCTCATCCCATAAAAACCCCACATTTTTATGCCTGATGTCGTGATGCCATAAAACCCTCCAGGCTGGAGGCACAGGAAAAATTAACAGAGCAGTGAAGGTAAATACAGATTATTGCCAGGTTTCCCTTCTGACCTCGCCGTTCCCACACAACTCCAACAGCCCCACTCCCACCTGGAGCATCCACAGGAAAGCCTGGAAGCAGAAATCTCACCCTCAGTGCTGTAGTGAACTGTGCTTCTGCATTGTCCATGCAGTTAACAGAGATGCAGTAGAGGCCCTGGAGGAGGAGAAATGCAAATTATGATCCTCACAGTGAAGAAAGGCACCCCCCAAACCCACAGAAATCCTGGGAATCACCAGGGAAAAGCAACCCTGGATGTGCCTGGCTCTGGGAAAAATAAGGAATTCTTACAGAAAGCCCTTTAAAATAAGTCCATTCATGTAAAAAAAGCTTTATTTAGCTGAGGAAACCATAAATGTCACGCAATGCTCAAAATTTCCTATGTGACAATTCCCATAAAAAACCATCTCCAGCTGTTTCCAACCTCCTGAATTTACCTCCTTGACTGTTCGTGACACAAAATCCAACACAAATCTTTTTCCAGAAAAACCTGTGGATTCCCCATCCCTGGAAGTGCCCAAGGCCAGGCTGGAGCAACCTGGGATAGCAGGAGGTGGGATGGGATGGGATGGGATGGGATGGGATGGGATGGGATGGGATGGGATGGGATGGGATGGGATGGGATGGGATGGGATAGGATGGGATGGGATGGGATTTAAGGTCCTTCCAACCCAAACCCACTCCAGGATTCCCCAACACTTATTTCCAAAGGGTTTTAAAAGCCTCTGGCAGGTGGGAGTCCCACCAGGGGTGAGTCCCCACGGGAGAGGATTCCTGCTGCTCCCCTCCCTGCCTGCCCTGAGTTCCTGGGGATGAGCAGGAGAGGGATCTGGTGCTCCCAGGAGCTGCCAGGGCTCATTGCAGGCACTCACCAGGAGCGTGTGGAGCTGGGCAGCGTGGTTGGAGAAGAGCCTGGGTGACTGCTGGCACAGCTGGCACACCTGGGAGATCTGGCACAAGCACAGACAGTCACATTTTAGGACACTTTTTCTCCGTTTCCTGCTCCAAATCCACCTCCTCCCCCCCCCCCCATGTGTGTCCAGGTTTCAGTGGTTATCCCAAGGATCCCAAATTACGCTCCTGGGTAGAAGCTGGAGGCTGGATGTGCCCCCAGCCCAGGGACAGGCACTGCCCCACACCCCAACTGCTCTGGAATGGTTTGAACTCCAGCAGCTCCACCCCCTGCAAACCAGGTCACAGATCCCTCCTGACAGACCCCAAACCTGACATTCTGCAGAAAAACTGGGATAAAATATTCCAGGGAATGGGCCAGGAGCAACGACCAGTTCTGAACCTCCCTGCTTGGGATGATTCCAGCACCTCCCCTGAACACGGGGTGGATGAGCAGGATTTGGAAATGACTGGAAAAATGGGAAAAGGCTCAGTCCTTTCTTGCCCTGAACTACACAAACCCTCCCTTGCTCTCCTTCCACTGTGTGGGAGGAAAGGGCAGGAAGGCAGGAGGTCTGAAAGCTGGGAAATGCTGGGACAAGGAAGGGGAAGGAGCCACTCTGGGAAGGGGAAAGACACCCAAGTCAGGCTGTAAATACAGCAAGAGGGTGTCAGCTGCACCATCAGCCACTGTCCAACTCCAGAGTGTCCCAAAAATACTGCAGAGGAGCCAATCCCACAGCTCCTGAGCTCCATCCATCCATCCCTCCTGGCTGTATCCATCAATAGCTCAGCAGGAATTTCTGCCTGAGCCCAAATACCTCCCCCCAAACCCAAATTCCCACGTTTTAAAGGCCATCCCTGCATCCAGGGAATGCTGGAATCCCAGCCCATCCCAGGGGATGCTGGAATCCCACCCAATCCCAGGGAATGCTGGAATCCCATCCCAGGGAATGCTGGAATCCCACCCCATCCCAGGGAATGCTGGAATCCCACCCAATCCCAGGGAATGCTGGAATCCCACCCAATCCCAGGGGATGCTGGCATCCCATCCCATCCCAGGGGATGCTGGAATCCCACCCCATCCCAGGGGATGCTGGAATGCCAGCCCATCCCAGGGAATGCTGGAATCCCAGCCCATCCCAGGGAATGCTGGAATCCCACCCAATCCCAGGGGATGCTGGAATCCCATCCTAGGGGATGCTGGAATCCCAGTCCATCCCAGGGGATGCTGGAATCCCAGCCCATCCCAGGGGATGCTGGAATCCCAGCCCATCCCAGGGGATGCTGGGATCCCACCCCATCCCAGGGGATGCTGGAATCCCATCCCAGGTAATGCTTAAATCCCATCCCAGGGAATGCTGGAATCCCATCCCAGGGAGTGCTGGGATCCCACCCAATCCCAGGGAATGCTGGAATCCCATCCCAGGGGATGCTGGAATCCCATCCCAGGGGATGCTGGAATCCCATCCCAGGGGATGCTGGAATCCCATCCCAGGGAATGCTGGAATCCCATCCCAGGGAGTGCTGGAATCCCATCCCAGGGAGTGCTGGGATCCCATCCCAGGGGATGCTGGAATCCCACCCCATCCCAGGGGATGCTGGAATCCCATCCCAGGGGATGCTGGAATCCCATCCCAGGGAATGCTGGAATCCCATCCCAGGGGATGCTGGGATCCCATCCCAGGGAGTGCTGGGATCCCACCCAATCCCAGGGAGTGCTGGGATCCCAGCCCAGCCTCACCTCCTGCAGGGCTGTGGCTTTGTGTCCCGTCACCAGCCGGCACATGATGATGTGTTCCAACAAAATCACTTGGAATGAGGACAGGATGGGGCTGCAGTCCAGCACTGGAGAGGGAGGGGAGGGAGCACAGCAAGTGGAGTTACCTCAGGAATTTACAACCCAGTTCACCAAGTCACAGCAAAACCCCCCAAAACTCGATGTTTTAACAGTAAAAATGTTATTAACAATATTATTACTAACAATAAACAAACCACCAATTTTTGTGCTCAAAGCAACCAGCTAAAAGAATAATGGTGGGAGCAGGGAAACAAACTGGGAACAAACAGTGGGAAAAGTTGTTATTCTCAGTAGTGTTTCTGTATTTAAAGCAACCACCCAGCCTTAAAAAAGAACAAAAGTCTCACTCTGGTCTTTGGCTGCCCAGGGAGCCAAAAAAGGCTGTGTTTGGTTTTAAATTAGCAACAAATACTAGAATTTTGCAGCACCAGCTGAATTCCAAGCCTTCCCCTTACTTTTTAGCTTCTCCAGCTGCATGAGGGCTTTGTCTGTGTACTTCTGGGCCTTCTCCAGGTACCCTGCCTGCATGGAATGCATCACTGTCACCTGCAGGGAGACACAGCACGGCTCACTCACCTTCCTCAGCCTCCCAGGAGCACTGGGATGGGATTCCCAGACAAGCTGGGCACGTCCCAGTCCCTGGAAGTGCCCAAGGGCAGGCTGGAGCAGCCTGGGACAGCAGGAGGGGTCCCTGCCCGGGGCAGGGGGTGGCACTGGGTGAGCTTTAAGGTCCTTCCAGCCCAAACCATTCCAGGGTTATCTAAAAACTCCTCTGTGCCAAGAGGGAAGGGCTGGCAGCTCCCACGAGGCCTGGGAGTCCCCCCAACTGAGCTTTTTCAGCTCACCCTGGACAACATTTAGGATTTTGAGTCACATTCAAGAAGTGGAACGACCAGTTGCAGAGACCTGGAGTCCAGTTTGTCACAACACAGGTAAAAACTGAGCCAAGGTGGCTCCTCTTCACACAGATTAATCCACTTTTCTTTGAGTTGGATATTAATAGAGTTCAATTTCACTTTTTGGGGCTTCTTTCCCCTCTTTTCTCCCACTGGGGGTGCCAGGGGTGCCGTGGCAGGATCCAGCTGCTGGTGCAGCACCGAGACCCACCCCAGTTTTTACCCAGCCCCTCGTTAATTAGCGACTAATTAGCGAGCAGAGCTCTCACCAGGTAGACCAGCACACACATGTGCTCCTTGGGCAGCCAGTGGAAGAGGTCAGCGGGGTTGCTGGGCAGGATCTCGTCGTCGTGCAGCGTGGAGATGGTCTGGATGCACTGCTGGAGCTGCTTCAGGCAGGGCTTCACGCTCTTCACCTGGCAAACCACACCTTCCACAGGCACCATTCCAGGGGGGAAAACCTCCCAGGTAACAAATAACCCACCCCCCCCAAGGCAGGGAATTACTTCGTGCCCAAAGTGTAACAGGGTGAACAACACTCTGCCGTTTGCGGGTGAAAAATCCGAGCAAAGTGTTTCCCAAAATTACAGGTTTTTGGTTTGGTGGGTGTTACCCCCCAGCAGCACAACATGGAAGCAAGAGAGGCCAAAGAGCACAAAAACACCCCAGAAAAACCTTCCCTCGAGGGAGAAATTCAAATAGTTTTCCCCCTCGTTTCACCTGTGACGAAAATCTACAGAAATTCAGTTTTGCTCCCCAAAACCACCCCTCAGAGGTGTTTGTGGAGGCAGTGCTGCTCTTCCCAGAGTTCCCTGGGATCCCCCACCTACCTGCCCAGCATCCAGGTAGTGTGTGACCTGCAGGACCAGGAAGAAGACCCGCAGGGACTCCTTCTGGATGGGGTTGCCCTGCCAGTTCTCCACGATCTGCCCGCACAGGGTCAGCAGAGGGTGAACCTCCTGCAGCTTCCGCTCCATCAGGAGCAGCTGCAAGTCCAGAGGGGAGAGAAGGAAACCATGGATTTGGTGTTGAACACTTTAAACACTCAGAGAACCACAGCACTGGGAGGAACTGGGATGGAATTCCCAGGGAAGCTGTGGCTGCCCCATCCCCGGAGTTTTCCAAGGCCAGGCTGGAGAAATCTGGGATAGTGAGAGGTGGCCCTGCCCATGGATGGGCTTTGAGCCCCTTCCAACCCCAACCACTCCAGGATTCTCATTCCAGGCCCATTTGATTTATTCATCTCATTGCAAGAGCCCTTTCCCACAGCCACAGCTTCCCCTCCCTCCAGTGACAGTTTCCAGTCATCCTTTCACAATTCCCAGTTATCCTTTTCCCTCCCAGAAATCCTTTCACAATTCCCAGTTATCCTTTTCCCTCCCAGAAATCCTTTTACAATTCAAAATTATCCTTTTCCCTCCCAGAAATCCTTTCACAATTCCCAATTATCCTTTTCCCTCCCAGAAATCCTTTCACAATTCCCAGTTATCCTTTTCCCTCCAGAAATCCTTTCACAATTCCCAGTTATCCTTTTCCCTCCCAGAAATCCTTTCACAATTCCCAGTTATCCTTTTCCCTCCCAGAAATCCTTTCACAATTCCCAGTTATCCTTTTCCCTCCCAGAAATCCTTTCACAATTCCCAGTTATCCTTTTCCCTCCCAGAAATCCTTTTACAAACCTTTCACAATTCCCAATTATCCTTTTCCCTCCCAGAAATCCTTTTACAAACCTTTCACAATTCCCAATTATCCTTTTCCCTCCCAGAAATCCTTTTACAAACCTTTCACAATTCCCAATTTCTTTTCCCTCCCAGAATCCTTTTACAAACCTTTCACAATTCCCAATTATCCTTTTCCCTCCCAGAAATCCTTTCACAATTCCCAGTTATCCTTTTCCCTCCCAGAAATCCTTTCACAATTCCCAGTTATCCTTTTCCCTCCCAGAAATCCTTTCACAGTTCCCAGTTATCCTTTTCCCTCCCAGAAATCCTTTTACAAACCTTTTACAATTCCCAGTTATCCTTTTCCCTCCCAGAAATCCTTTCACAATTCCCAATTATCCTTTTCCTTTCCAGAAAATCATGTCACACTTAAGAAGGAAAAAAACCCCAACCCCTCAAACCTCTTCCCGAGGATTTCACACCAATCCTGCAGACTCCAAGCTTATCCCAAATATATTTTAATGCCCTGCTTGCCCACAGGGCAAACAAGAAGATAAAAAAGCACAAAAAGGCACACAAGGCACCTTAAAAATCAGTTTATGGCCAGGCAAGTCTTGTTCATTTGCTCTGGAACTTAAAAATAAATGAGTGAAGAGGTTATTTAAAAGAACATCCCACTCACCATCCCCTTGCTGAGCAGGAACAACGCTCTGAAATGGAATAAAACAAAGTTATGCTCACAGAGAGTTACTCAAACCACAGTTACACGTTAAAAAATAAAGAGGAAAAAAATCAGGATTTGCTTTTCTCCCCCCTTGAAGAGCAGAAGGAAAAGAGTATTAAGGGACCTGCCCCAGGAAACCCATTTCAAAGCTAAGTGGGAAAAGGGCTGCAGGAATCAGAATTCCAGCCCCAGCTTTGCATCCCAGCTTTGGGCAGTTCCAGCTCCAAAAGTTTCTGAGCTCAAACCAGACAAAATTCAGTTTAAAAAGCCCCTCCAGGGTCTGAAGAGGACATGCTTGGGTTTAATGGTTTTAGTGGGGTGGTGGAAGGTTGGAACTGGAGGATCTTTAAGGCCCTTCCAACCCAAACCACTCTGGGATTCCGTGAGCAGGGAAAGGAAAGAGCTGGAAAAAACCCCCCAGAGCTGGAGAAACCAGCTCAGAAAGGTGATTTCTAGGTGGGGTTTAGAGGCAAATTGACACCTTTAAACAAAAACCAGAACAGCTCTAAATAAAAAGCAGAAGAAGCCAGGCTATTCCCCGTGGGGAGGGAGGGGATCCCGGGGATCTCACCTGGTGTACTCAGACCCCACCACCCTGGCATACTCTGCTCCCACCCCCAGCAGGTCACAGGCAGACACCAAGTCCTTCTCCAGGGTGTGCAGTTGCTGGAATGACAAAAAAAACACACCCAAAAGGTCAGGGTTTGCTCCAGGAAACCCATTCCAGAGTCCTCCCAGTGTCCCTATCCCTGTGCTTTCCATGTGCCAAAACATAAACCCCCAGACTTTACATTCACACTTCATAATTCACTTATACATTCAATTTATATATATTTTTATAAAAATACACTTATATATTTATTTTATATACACTTCTAAGCATATCCCAGAACAGGAATTCAATTTATACATATTTTTATATAAATACACTCATAAATATATATTTATTTTATAAACACTTGTGAGCATATTCCAGAGCAGGAGCAGTAACTTTCCCTGGACACCTTTCACCTGCTCCTTCTCCCCTCCCACCAAGGCAGGAGAAAGGTTTAAAAAGACAGTTTAAAAGAAATTTTAAAAGACATTTTAGAGACATTTTAAAAGCTATTTTTAAGACCCCAACAAACCCTCAGAGCCTGGAAAACCCCAATTCCAGCAGGATTTCAGACCATTCCCTGCAAACCCCAATTCCAGCAGGATTTCGGGCCATTCCCTGCAAACCCCAATTCCAGCAGGATTTCAACCCCAATTCCAGCAGGATTTCAGGCCATTCCCTGCAAACCCCAATTCCAGTAGGATTTTGAGCCATTTCATGACAAACCCCAATCCCAGCAGGATTTTGGACCATTCCCCGCAAGCCCCCAAATCCCTCCTGTTATTGTTTTCCCTGCTCCCCCTCTGGAGCTGTGTGTTCCTGCTTCCCATGGGATGATCCCTGCTCCTTCCTGCCCCACCTGCCTCTCTCCAGCCCGACCAACCCACGGATCTGTAGCCTGGATTTCTCCCTTCCCTCCCCGTTAAGAGCCCCGGCTGAGGGGTGAGGGGGGTGAAAAGGGCATCCCAAAGGGAATGCAGGGCTTTCCCAGGCCTTTTTCCCACTGCAGGGGCAGGGCTCACTCACAGCCAGCTGGAAGAGCAGGCGGCAGTGCCAGTAGGGAGTCTGCTGGGAGATCTGGATGGCTTTTCGCAGCAGGGGCTTCGCCGTGTCCACGGAATTCTGCAACACAAAGGTGGGGCACTGGGAATCCAAGCCCTCCCAAGGAGCTGCAGAGCAGTTCTGCAGCCTGCTGGGTTGGGAAGGTGAGGAGTTTAAACCCAGGGAAAGCAACAGAACCAAGAGGGGAGAGCCTGGAAGAGGATTCCCAGAGAAGAGGTGGCTGCCCCGTCCCTGGGAGTGTCCAAGGCCGGGCTGGGGCCACCTGGGACAGTGGGATGTGTGGTGGTACTGGAGGGGCTTTAATGCCCTTCCAGCCCAACCCCATTCCAGGATTCCAAACCCCTGAGGAAAACCCCTCGACTCCCCTCCCACCCCCAAAATCAACCTCTGCCAAAGCCAGGCCTCACTTTGGCCAAGGGAACCCCCTTTGGAAAATCCACGTTGCAATTCCAGCAGCAGCTCCCAGAATTAAAACAAAACAAAACAAAACAAAACAAAAAGCCCTTCATGCCTTTTTTTTTTTTGTCTTTTTAACTCCTCCATATTTACAACCCCGACCCTAAAAATCCCATAAAATCGTCCTATTAAGGGGAATCAACCCCTCCAGGGCCTGGAAAGGCAGCTCCTGGTGGTGCCACTCACCTCCTGGCAGTACAGCTCCGACAGCAAACTGGCTGCCTCGAACTTCACATCTTCAAACTGGGGGATCTGGCACCAGAGTTAAGGAATGACGGACACGGGGTGGAAAACAGCACCAGCCTGGCCCCCAGAAACTCTGAACCCCTCAGGAAAGCTGGGATTAGATGGGCCTTAAGGTCCCTTCCAAGCCAAACCATCCCGGGGTTCAATGAAAGAGGCTCCCAGTGATGAAAGAGTTTAAAAGTAGATTTAAAATAGAATAAAAGCACCAGTTAAACCCCCACCCCAGGCCCTTGGAGGTGCTTAAGGAGTTTCCACGGAGGTGTTTTGTGCTCAGCACCCGTAAAGGACAATTAACTCTCTCTTCAAACACCTCAAGGCTCTTTGGGAGGGAATTCCTCAGCTCTTCCCAGTGATCCACCTGCTCCCTGGATGTGCTCCCAGGAGAAGCAGCAGTGCTGTGCCAGGAAAAGGATACCTGCTGGGATATCAGCCACTGCAAGGGAACACAGGGGGTTAGTCTGGGACCAGCACCCACCGGGACCCCTCCACCAGCCCCTCCCTCACCCCCTCCATTCCCACTCACCGCCTTCTCCAGGTCGCTGAGACACCCCCATCGCTGCCCTCCCCTACTCCAGGACCCCCCCGAGACCGGCCCAGACCCCGCTCCCGCCTTCTCCAGGTGTGGACACCTCCATCTCCTCCCTCCCCTACTCCAGGACTCCCCCCAAGCCCCCAAACCCCGCTCACGCCTTCTCCAGGTGCTGGCGGGCGCTGGTCGCCGTATAGCGGTGTGGTAGGTAGAGGACGGGAGCCGATCGTGGAGGTGCGTGCGGGGCCTCCACTTCTGGCGGGGGGCTTGCGGGGGCAGCACGGCCGGCAGGCCAGTGCACGCAGAAGGCCGCACCTTGGGCGGGCTGGACGTTGCGGAAAGGGTGCTCGGCCCAGGCCACGCAGCGCCAGGTACCACGGACAGGCCGCGCGGGCCGCGACCGCCGCCGACCCCGAGCCCGGCGCGGGCGCCTGCCGCGCCGCTTGCCGCCGCCTCCGCGCCGCGCCGCCGCCGCCCCCGGGGCCACCCGCGGCTCCCGCGGCGTCCCCGGAGCCGTCCCGCCGCCTCCCGCCGGCTGCGGCGGCCCTGCTGAGGCCGGCGGCGGCTGCTGAGCGGGCCGCCGCGCCGCCGCCAACCGCCGCCATCTCTGGGGCCGCCGGACAACACGGGCGGGGGCCGGAGGCAGGGCGGGGAGGTGTGTTCGCGCGCGGGGGCTCAATGGATTTAGTCCCGCGCTTCGGGCCCTAGGACGCGGGCCTAAGGGAGGGGTCGGGCCCTGGTCCTGCCCTGCCCCGTTTAAAAGTTCTCTTTCTTTAAAACTCCTTTTAAAATGGCTTTGAAAATGTCTCTAAAATGTCTTTCAAAATTTCTCTAAAACCTCTTTTAAAATGTCTTTTAAAATATCTTTTAAAACGTCTTTCAAAAACGTCTTTTAAAACTCCTTTAGAACGTCTTTTAAAAAAAGCTCTCCAAAACGCCTTTTAAAACGCCCTTTAGAATTTCTTTTAATTTTTTTTAAAAAACATATTTTTAAGGCGTTCGAAAAGTAAAAGTTCTTTAAAAATAAAAGTAAAAGTTCTTTTTAAACGTAAAGCCCTTTGAAAATTTGAAAATTTAAAACCGGTATTTAATATATGGTATTTAATACATAATAAATAATGTGAAATATATAATATATAATATATATGTAAATTATATATAGCATGTATATGCACTATATAATATGTAATATGTAATATGTAATATGTAATACTATATATATCCTAATATATAATGATAGAATTTTCATATATATGAATATATTATATAATTATATAATACATTGATAATATAATGTGGTAATTGTACGTTATATAAAATATAATACATAAGATATAATAATGTTCTCTCCCACGCTTTGTTCCCTGTAGCAGCCTCAACACTGATTTTAGCAAAAACTTAAAATTCTCCGATGTTTCCCAAATTTCCCCGAAACGCCTCGGCGGCGCCAAACCGCTCCCGCCGGCGATAATTACGCAATTAACCGTCGAACTTAATTAACCGCCGTCCTTGGCTTGCTCTCCCCCCCCCTTAGAGACTACAACTCCCAGCAGCCCTTGCGGCTGCGCGGCCCCCGCGCGGCGCGCCCGGCGCGGGGCACGCTGGGAAGGGGACTCCAAAATGGACAACCACCTGGGATGCCTCAGGTACGGCCCGGCCCGGCTGGGGCGCCCCCCGGGCCCAGCCGCGCTCCCGCCGCCCCGGCTCCCTTCCCTCATCCGGCGCTCCGGGGAGCCACGCGTGGCTACCCGCGTGCCCAGGGGTGCTTGTGTGCCGTGAGGGTGCCGTGGCTTCGCTCCCCCCCCTCCATCCTCCTCCTCCGTTGATTTCCTTCCCCCCCTCCCCGTTTCCCCGCTGGGAAGGCGGGACGCTGGTTTGCGGTGGTGCCCTCGTTAGATTCCCCTCGGGCTTTTCTGGGCCGGGCAGGCGAGCGGTGGTTTTTTGGATGACCCTTCCTCCCCCCTTCTCTTCCCTTTTCCCATAGGGAAGGCGAGCCGGGGATTTGGGAGACCCCGCTGTTGATTTTTTTTTTTCCCCCCTTTTCCCCCAGTGAAGACAAGCTGAGGTTTCGGGGTGGCCCCCCCAGGTTAATTCCTCCCCCTTTTCCCCGGGGAAGCCCAGACAGTGATTTGGGATTACCCCCATTAATTCCCCCTGTTTTTCCCCAGGGAAGCCCAGCCTGTGTTCCAGGACGATCCCCATTAATTCCTTCTCTTTTCCCCAGGGAAAACTAGCCAGTGTTCCAGGATGATCCCCATTAATTCCCCCTGTTTTCCCCCAGGGATGCCCAGCCAGTGTTCCAGGATGATCCCCATTAATTCCCCCTGTTTTTTCCCAGGAAGGCCCAGCCAGTGATTTGGGATTACCCCCATTAATTCCCCCTGTTTTCTCCAGGGATGCCCAGCGGGTGTTCCAGGACGATCCCCATTAATTCCTGCTGTTTTCCCCCAGGGAAGGCCCAGCCAGTGATTTGGGATTACCCCCATTAATTCCCCCTGGTTTTCCCCAGGAAAGCTCAACCAGTGATTTGGGATTACCCCCATTAATTCCCTCTCTTTCCCCCAGGGATGCCCAGCAGGTGTTCCAGGACAGTCCCCAATAATTCCCCCTATTTTTCCCCAGGGAAGCCCAGCCTGTGTTCCAGGACAGTCCCCACTAATTCCCCCTGTTTTCCCCCAGGGATGCCCAGCCGGTTTTCCAGGACGATCCCCATTGATTCCCTGTTTCCCCCAGGGATGCCCAGCTGGTGTTCCAGGACAGTCCCCACTAATTCCCTCTCTTTTCCCCAGGGAAGCCCAGCGGGTATTCCAGGACAGTCCCCACTAATTCCCTCTCTCTCCCCCAGGCAAGGCCAATGGGTTTTCCAGGACGATTCCCATGAATTCCCTCTCTCCCCCAGGAAAGCCCAGCGGGTGTTCCAGGACAATCCCCATTAATTCCCCTGTTTCCCCCAGGGATGCCCAGCCGGTGTTCCAGGACAATCCCCACTAATTCCCTGTCTCCCCCAGGCAAGGCCAGGCAGTGATTTGGGATTACCCCCACTAATCCCTCTCTCTCCCCCAGGCAAGGCCAGCCGCTGGTTCGGGTTGTCCCGCAGTCCGAAGGCGGCCAAGGCCAGCGTGAACATCCTGCAGCAGGAGGAGCTCATCGCCCAGAAGAAGCGGGAGATCGAGGCCCGGCTGGAGCAGCAGGCGAGGCAGAACTCCCTGAGCATCCCCCAGCTCCCCCTGCTCGGAGAGTACGTGGAGCCCCTGCAATTCCAGGGCAAGGGGGGAGGCAGAGGAGGAGCTCTGCACCTGGAGGGAATTCCTGGGAATGTAGCAAGGGGTGGGATTGGGGTGGTCACGGGGGCACCCGGGTTTTCAGGCCTTAATTTAATTTAATAGAATTAAAATAATTCTAACTCTAAATTAGAATTAGAATTAAATTAATTTAATTTAATATAATTCTAAATTAGAATTAGAATTAAATTAATTTAATTTAATTTAATTAATTTAATTTAATAGAAACGTTCCTCAGAAATTGATTTATATATATAAAAATACATTTATATATAACTTACAACTTTATATGTTGTGATTTACAGTCATCATGTTCTATATATGATTTATTAACACACTGAGATATTTATGATAGAACCTATATGTTGATATATTCATTACAGCAATTATGTGTGATTTATTAATGTATTGATATATTTATGATATATTTAGCTTAGGAATTATACATATGATGTATTAACGTTGATATGTTAGTGATAGAAATTATATATTGACATACTCTAGAATTATATATAGATTTATTAATAGATTGGTATATTATGGTTTATCTATTATAGAAATTATATATGGGAATGTATTTATATATTTATCAGAAATTATGGATATGACATTAATGTATTTATTAATGTATTGATATATTATGATATATAATATGATATATCCATTATGAGAGTTATATATGGATATATTTATCATAGGGATTATGTATATGATTTATCAATATAATGATACATTATATATCTATGGTAGGAATTATATATGGATATATTTATCATCAGGATTATGGATGTGATTTATTAATGCATTGATATAATTATGATGCATTTGTGACAGAAGTTATATATGGATTTAATATCCCCAGGGGCTGGGGAGGCTCCTCAGCTCCATCTCCCCCTTTCATTAATAATTCCTGGGGGTTTTATCCTGTTTTCTGCCCCCAAATCCCGCCGTGTGAGGACCTGGGGAGGCTCCTCAGCTCCATCTCCCCCTTTCATTAATAATTCCTGGGGGTTTTATCCTGTTTTCTGCCCCCAAATCCCGCCGTGTGAGGACCTGGGGAGGCTCCTCAGCTCCATCTCCCCCTTTTATTAATAATTCCTGGGGGTTTTATCCTGTTTTCTGCCCCCAAATCCCGGTGTGGGAGGGGCTGGGGAGGCTCCTCAGCTCCATCTCCCCCTTTTTTCCTCTCCCAACCAGCGAGGATGGATCCGAAGGCGACGCCTCCGTGTCCAACAAGTTCGTGAACGACGGGAGTTTCCTGCAGCAGTTCCTCAAGCTCCAGAAGGAAAAGTCAAATGCTGGTAGGTCCATCCCGAGCTCCAGGCTCTGCTCCTGCCTAAACCCCTGCTAGGAAGTTCTGAGGCGATGATTATCCCTGAAAATTGGGATTAAAGTCTGCGTTTTGGATGCTCCAGGAAGGTTTTTCCCCTCTTTCTTTTCACCTTCCTTGTGCTGTGAAGTCGAACAGTTTCTCTCCTGGCTCGAGTCTCACTTTGTGAAAAGTCATCAGCAGGGTTTTTTTTTGGCTTCTGTTTTAAATTAAATTAAATTTAAATTAAATGAGTAATAACAAATTAAATCGCTTGAATTTCAATGTATTTAATTTAATGATATTTGT